AAGATGGACTCTTATGATTGAAAATGTAACATACCATAATTCAACCCTTTTGAAATTTAATACAACTCTTAAATGATGTACACGAGTGAACATGCAAAAAGTAAAATTTACAAGATTATCTGATCAGAAAATGATCAGAAAAACGTATGAAGCAATTTATATACCATACTTTTTTAATATATCTTTAATATTAAAGCAAAATGTTAAACTGTGTATGTCTTGCATGCAGACCTAATGACCTTGTCTTATTATCAAATAAAGACCTGGAGATTTTATCAATGTTTATGTTCACAACAATTATGCCTTCCGATCTCACATTTCACTTTTTACCACAATTTAAGATAATTTAGGCTGTAAATTAGGCATAATTTGACAGCCATCATTATTTTGGAAAATCTCTGTATAAATTACTGAAGACACACTTTTAATAGAAAGCAAATCATTTTCCGCTCCCTTAAACTGGCCATGAATGCCAAATTAGAAAGTTGAAAGTAGAATTCCATGTTCATTATAATTTGAAGATAATTTTCTGTGATTGTAATGAGGACCATTTCAATGGTTACCATAGCAATCATGTTAATTCTGACAACATTGGCAAAGACAGGATCAAACTTGATGCTTATTGAACGAGACAAATTGCATGTTAGAGTTGAAATGTTTTTGAAAACTTTGGTGATAATAAGTAGAAAATCACAAATTGTTTGCTTTCTCAAAAAATGCCATAAACAAATTTTGAAGTTTTTGTAAATAAGAAAAAACATTTGCAACAGATCTTAACTTCAGAAAAAAAAAATTAAAACAGAACAAAGTGTTAGGTGACCCCCCTGGGGGGTGCCCTTGAGTAGTTGCAAAACAATACCGACTTGTAATATCAAATAATATAATACAAAATAAACAGTGTCATTTAACTTCAATTTTGCATATTTCAAGATTCTACTTGAATTCTTTGACTGATCGAAAATGAGGATAAACATTAGTCTATTTATCAATACTAATTCATAAGCTTTTGTTTACCTAGAGTTTTTGTATTAAAATACCACTGTTGATCTTAAGCTGTCAGGGGCAGAGGTTATCCCTTTCCCTTTCACCATCCCAGGCCTAACATGAATAAATGTTTTTGTCCCAAGGTACCGTTTAAACGAAAAGACACAATCAAACCATTTTGCAATATTTACCATATAAAAGTCGGTTTGTAAAAATATTATATTGAATCAATGCAAAAAACACGTTCAGTTAAACCTTAAACACACACTTCAGACATGGGGGGTAAATAGGTTAGGAACACCAAATTTGGAGTTCTAGGGTATTTTAGAGAATAACCTCTTCTCAATCAAGAATAATGAAATATTGACGATGGCTATTAAAATCATCAAACAAATTCAACAATCAATCAAACTGGGTAAATATGGTCAGAAATAGTTGATTATTCTACAGTTTAAAATGACCACTTAAAATTAAAAATAAATATTTTTGAAGTGTATTGAATCGACTCGGACAGGACCCTCATCATGAATTTGACATATGAAAGTAGAAATTCCACGTTTGATTCAATAAAAAATACTTCAATGCAATAACAAATTGACAGCCGACCATCCTGTGCATGATTTTGCAAAGAAAAAACTGAATAATATTTTTAGATTAAACATCAAACATGAGTAATGATATGAAAGTAAAATTAGTATGTCTAGTCAGATATAGACATTTGAAAGCATTGAGAAAACAGATTTAGAGAATAAAGATTTGTTCTACCTATAGAACTTGGTGTCAGAGCCTAGCACATTAGACAGATGAAGTACTCTTTCAAGAAGCAGATCAATCTAATAGAAATGATATTATCTACCCTCAAATAAGAAAAGATCTAATTGGGAAAATTAGCATGAAATATCGGAAATAATATATTGAACATTTGGCGCTAATATTTTAGGTAACTGATATGCGGATATAATTTGATAAATTATCACCCGATACTGGGAATCTTAATAAAGCCAGCGTGAATTATGAAAATTTTTCATTGTTGTCAAGGGTATGTTTTGCAAATGAGTTTTCTATGTAACAGTGCTCTATTTTGTTCCTTGGTCTATACCCACTGTGTACATAGCTATAGAAACTTGAAGAGCCCATATGCCTAAAACTGACCATTATTTCAAATGATTTCTATAAGCAGAATAGTGAGAGAGTACTTGGAAGTAAATTTAATGTGTGGGCTAGTCAAACATTCTGCCTTGCTTTCTAATACTGCTATATTTGTAATCTAGCAGAGGCATTCATGGAATTGAGCGCTCTTTGTAAGGCGTGATAAAACTTCCCCAATATTTTCATATTGGCCTATAAGTTGAGCAATAGCTACTGCAAACATTAGACCATGTGAAACTCTAACACCTGTATGTATAGTTCTAAGTTAAGTCCATGCAAATTTAACCCCACTTTTAGTCAAATCATAATCAAAATTTCAACAAAACAGACATCAGATGCTTCTCTCTCAAAAATGAATAATTTCATAACATTAATTTTGATCATATTTAAAATTTAATGGTGATAACAGATATTCGTTTCAATATCAGTATTTTATGGGGACTGAATATGATATTTTATGCTAATTTATAAAACGGCCTTTTGAAAAAAGTTTATTGAATTGATGATTATTTTATCTATAAGTAGATTTTTAAAAACATTCCCATTATAACTGTATCCCTTTTCAACTTTCACTAAATATGAAATAAATCAATTTAATGAGTTGATTTTTAAGCTGATATCCTATACTAAAGTCAATTTTAACTATGAAATAGATTGATACTAAAGTATATTTTTCAGTTATATTACAATTTCAATTTTTTCACACAATAATACATGATACCACAAAAAACTAAGATTAGCAAATTGATATTTTTCTATGTTAAATTGTGTTTGTCATATTACCCCATATCCAGTTATCTGGATTGATAGGAAAATGTGATATTTAATATCGAAGAGCAGTGATTTAACTTTTTCAAATCAAATCCTATCTGCTGATTAATGACCAATTCCAAGGAATAGCATAAACATATGGTTTTCATTTTTCATGTTACAATGGTCTAAATACATGAACATTGCCATCTGTCTCTCAATGACATGAAATTGTATTTGAAACTCACCCTTCCTCATTTTGACATTTGTCGTGATTTAATGAGCCTTATTTGGAAAAGCTTTTTGAAAGATTTCATGAGAAAGTTTAGTAGGGAAAGGATTGTTGAAGAAATATTTTGGGCACCCCTTGTCACTTTCCAGATCAACCCATTGTATCTACATGTACTTTCAGACAAAGATGTCTATCTTATTAACAAGAGATCACACATAAAAATACATGGATCATATATCCTTTTTAGAGTATGAACCTATTAAAATAATTCAAAATGTTCAAGACAGACACGAGACAGACACTAATAAAGATGCATCTGTGACCATTATACTACAATGGATGACTGAATTCCCTTTTAAAAAGTAACAATCACAATGACCATTTCATCATTGTTAAATATGAACAACTGTACAAATCATAAATCCATTTATCCTACACATGTACATCAATTAGAATTGATTATCTTACCTAAAAACTTAAAACAACTAGATTGCATGAGATCCCAAAATAAATGTCCAGTTTTCAAATGACTTTGTAACCAGAATGTTTAAAGCAAGGAAATGTCATTTATATGACAAACCACATAATGGCCAAACTATAGAGTTAAAAGCTAGTAAATTAACTGAAGTGGTATCTTATCCTGTATCACACCATATATCACCCATATACATGACATAAAATCCCCACTCTAATCTAGAAATGGCACACAGATATATGATTTATATAGGGAAATGTGTAGGTACTTGGTTATGTTTTAGTTTTTTACATATAACTTTAAGCAATGATTGAAACAATGTTTGTTATTTAAAACACACTTGAATCTCACCATAGATTGCACCCTATAACATTAGAAAACCAAACCTAACAGTAACAGATATATATACAGTAAAACCTGAGTATATTGAACATTTTTTTGCGAAGATAAATATTTAGTTTTGTTAGGCGTTCACTACAGAGAGCGTAATTTATGCAGAAGTCAGTTGAGCATGTGTGGAAGAAGGGTGTGTATAAGAGACAGGTGTTCACTAGAGAGAGGTGTTCACTAAGACAGGTTTTACTGTCATCCAGCATTTGTCTGTCCCTAGTTTCAATTCGCTGTAATCCTTTGCACGATAGAACCAAAAGTGTTAAAATTATCAGTTGGAAGTCTGACAATGCTATCATAGTCTATCTTCAATGACGGATTATATGTAATAAGGGAAATTAGAAACTGGAAGATTGGCTACATAAGAAATATTCCTTTGTATGATGTTATTCCGACCAATTATCCCGCATCTGTCTAGACTTATCAGACATATAAGCCATTTACAATAGACCCCCTAACAGTAGACCTTTTTGACTCTGAAAAATAGGATATTTTGGCCCCATATTTTTAAAGATTTACCAAAAACACCACTTTTCTGTATAGGCTTTATCTGGAAGGGATTAAACAATTTTCTTTCCCTTGTCAAATCCCCTTCCAATAATACCAGATGACATTGATTAGATGGATTAGGCTGAAGTCTATCATAGGCTCAAGTCTCAAGTTATCAACTCAAAATTGAAGTGAAACTGAAAAGTGAAAGTTGACATTGAATGTCTTGTTTACAAGGTACAGTTTCCTTTATTTATGTTCTGACATATCATTTATTCTTGAAAATAACAGCAGACCTAGATGTACTCTTCTACATCGATTACAAGTAAATCCCTACACAAACTCAAAGGACATTTAAGGAAATGAAAATAAACCGACTTTGTACATTGACCTGCTAATGTGTATTGTATTTTGTATGGCTATTGACTTTTCTGAGTACTACAAATTCGAGCGAACATAATCAATGATATTGAAGGATTTACAGAACCGATTTCAGATCTTAGTAGATCAAATTGAAGATAAATATCTTACCTATCATCGTAGCAGAAATCGGCGTTCAACGTATTCCAATACAGGAGTAACGAGAGCAAACAACATAGCCCTATTTCGGTCCCCATCTTAACTTCAAGTCCATGTTCCCTCGTCTGCAATCTAGGATGCGCAATTCGCCGACTGCGCATTTTCGTATGCAAATTACCTCCAGCTGTCAATCAATTAACTCTCAGCGCCTCCCACTGTGTTTACCTTTGAAGTTTACCTGGCGCACACCACAGGTAAATATAAACAACCTGCCAAGAAATTATGAAATTATTTGAATTAATAAATAGATTTATAAATGACCATCCATGAACATATTTTCTAAAACGTTTGAAATTGACTCAAGGAAAAAACTCCATCAGCTGATGATGCTTTGAGATCTTTAAACAGTGGAGACGATAACCCCATTTAACGTGAAGTATGGCAATTGCCATGTTGCACGACAATTGACGTGAAATTATGAAGCATAAGTGCGCATGTCAATAGATAATAACGGCAATTGCCGTCATGTCCGTCAAGTGACGTGCAATATTGTGCACGGCAATTGACGTGCAAACTATTATCTTTTAAAAGTTTCACATATATCGGCAGGACGACAGGCAGTTATAAACTGGGGAACTAGTGGGTAAATCATGATCTGCATCGTATGTAATAGTTATAATCATAAACATTTGCTATTGTCCGGGTTGCATTTTGAACTAACAACTATTATGATGTGCATACTTCAATGTTTACAAGAAATATTTATTCAATGGCAAACCGGAAGTAAACAAACGATGGAAAGAAAACTAATAAATTCTGATCTAATGAGGATAGGAATTTAAATTTTTTATAATTCATTTAAGGTAATCATTGGATCATTGCAAAGAAGGTTTAAAAACTAAATCCAGCCAGGAAAAAACGAAAAAATCAGCAACACGTCGAGGTCAGGAAAACACTTCCGGTCAAAAAGAAGAGGGAAAGTAGACCCCATTTTAGTGATTTCCAGTGGTCTTTTCTCGGAATTGGGGCTCACGTTGTGTTCAGAGATTAAAATACCATCGGGTCAGTACCAATTTTGTCGTAAAACCCGTCGGAAAGACGATATCTAGACAATTGAAGAAGTATTATTAATTCCAATATGGCGTTTTTCTAGGATTCGTGAGACGTAACTTTGATTAGATTTAGCGCAAAATTCCCACATAGGATCGCTAATTCCTACATACAAGTGCTAGATTAGATTAAATACTCGAAGAAAATGCAATAAAAAGCGTTCCATCGATCGATTTAGACTTTCCAAGAATGCAAGTTCGGTGGTGACTTCATTGGTTCGTAACATTGACAGAAAATTCACAAGATTGAACGGCATTTTCTCCACAATTTTGGAATGAAATACCTCCCTTGGATTTAATATATCATTAATGTTTACCTAAGTATACGTACTATAAAAGAAATATTACTTTGATCGTGTATATAGTAAACACTGGGTCTTCTAATTAACCTGGTGTTTCAAATCATGAATTACAATGGACATTCTGCTTATTGGCGTGATTCACGTCAATTGACGTGCAAAATGGCAATCTCCGTGTTACACGTTAAATAGGGTTATCGTCTCCACTGTTAAACAAGCCCATTAGTTCAGTATTCTGTACATATCTGATGTGGTGCATTTAACAGAGCTGACGTGGTACATTATGGGGCAGCTGATGTGGTGCATTAAGAGTTGACACAACTGAGTGTTGTTTAAAGAAACGGTTGAATAGCTGATGATGTGGTGCTCTGGTATGGTGCAATGAGACCCGGATTGAGACATATCTGATGTGGTACATTTAGGAATATCTGATGTGGTGCATTGAGGCACAGTTCATGTGGTGCATTTAGACATATCTGATGTGGTACATTCTGGCAAAGCTGATGTATTGCATTGAGAATCGAGACACAACTGAGTGTTGTATTGAGAAACAGCTGGTGTGGTGCTCTGAAATACATCTGCTTTGGTACGTTGAGACACAGCTGGTGTGGTAAATTGAGACATATCTGATGTGGTGCATTGAATCATATCTGATGTAGTACATTGAAGCATATCTGATGTGCTGCACTGATACACAGCTGACGTAGTACATTTGAGACAGCTGATGTGGTGCATTGAAAAAAGCAGCTGAAATTATTGAATTTTGAGATATGAGGGTTTAATGCGTATATGTGTGGTACCTTGAAACATAGTTGATCATGATGTGGTGCATTGAGAAATAAGTTTGATAAGAGTTTGGGACATAACAGGTGTGCATTGGACAAGACCACATCATTCCATTCCAAAAGAATAGTAATGCGAAGTATAGAAATAAGGAAAAATCTCTGACATATTTCATAGCTCAGTTCAGGTCTAATCTCCAGCTTGTCTGCCTTGCTTGATAAATAGTACATACATAACCCAATTAATGTACCTAATCTTTAAGATGCCAATGAATTATTAAACCATGGAGCCCAATTACTGGATTTATCCTTCCCAATTTATAATCAAGAGATTAGTTAAGACTTGGAATGATTATGTAAACAATTTAGAACATGCCTGTCCAGATCATATAGTTATCTAAAATAATTAGGGAATAGTTTTTTTTAGTAAAGGTGGTACTGAAATGAATACATTCTGCTGAAAATCTGTAATATTTTGCCAAAAAACTAAGAATTTTTCCAAAAATCTTTTCAGCAATATTTTCAGAACTTACCCAAATGTGTAAAATTATGACTCAACATTAGAAAGCGCATCAACTACAACTATAAGGTATCCATTGTATCAGTCAGATTAACTATTTTTCAACTCTCATAATTTGACAAAAATCTCTGTGTGTTAAAATCATTAATTTGACAAAAATCTCTGTGTGTTAAAATCATTGTGTATCATGCAAAGCTTGTAAAAATGTAACCTTTTATATATAGATGCATAATTTATTGTAACTTCAAACAAATGGTTGACAGTGATTTTAATCAAATCATTAATTAATTTAATTAAAGAAACAATACCAAGACAGATTTTTAATTTCAATTTGCAGACAGTATTTATTGTATAATGTTCAACTCTTGTAACAGAAAAAACAGAAATATAAAAATACAATTATTTCTAAATATTTCAGTTGGAAATAAGATATTTGTATATATGAAATATATGTCTTTAAAAATTGTAATGCACTCCTTAACTAATATTGCAACCAGAATTTCTTTATAAAAATGAACATTTGTTAAAGTCATTATTTGTAAGGGATTTTACTCTTTGTTCTATTCACCTTTAATTAACCTAGCTTAATTATACATGCAGGTATACAATTATTTTAATCAAGGAAAGTGGTGTTTTTCATGCTATTTATACTTTAATTACAGATCTGGAGAGCAAACAATTTAACATTATAGTCTAACCACAGATTTGAAGAAATCCTGGTAACCCCCTGGTTGAACAAGGTTAAAACCTCAAATCAAAGTGAAAAAGGAAATAACAAAATGAACCAGTACTTGACAAAGACAATGGAGGCTTTCAGATTATATTTGTTCATCTTTGTTGATTATTTGAAAATATTTAGGAAATTTCCCTTGAAGAATGAATTAGTGAGCTATAGTCAATATATGGTCAACACATTACAGGTTGAATGTATGATATACATGTATATACATTATATGTGTCCAATCTATAGTCTAGTCTTTAATTACTGTATATGATTGGATGTGGACATAAGATATGACATTATGTACATTACATGAACGTTAATTAGAAAACATGTTGTATTACATCATTGCCTATGGGTACATGTATGCAGTATATATATAACATATATAACAAAATACAGGTGATTACAGGTGATGACAGACACATATTTCACTTGTGTACAATATAATGAGTCTAATAGTAGAGCATCATTAGTGTTTAACACATGTTATGAAATTCTAAGTAATCATGTTTTGAAGAAGCTGCACAAAGGGCAACATTAAGAGCCAAAGTCAAGCCAGACATTAAAATACATACAATTTTGTATTGATTCTATATAATGAAACAGAGGTTTAGTGGGTGAAAAAGATTGCAAAAAATATTAAGAATTCTAATTTATTAAGTTAGGCTATTTTAATTAAGTAAATGGCTATCTACTTGTACAATTTTTGATAGTGCAAATATCAATGTTTTCACTAGAATAAGATATGGTTATTTAAAATTTCTCAAAAAATCCACTACTAATAAATTAACCATTTAAGCTCAAACTAATCTTCAACTGGAAAAAAAAATTCTGGAAAAGGTGGTTACTATGTGTGATTTTGAGTAAAATACAGAAAATTCATATTGCCCGAGAAAGTCTGTATTTCACGAGATGGCAATACAGGAAGTACTGTTTGCATCATATGACCCAATCAAATTACTGGAAATTTCACAATCATTGCAACTACATGTATATACATATCTAATACATCAAAAACTATATAATTTCATAAAGAACAGATATTAAATTGTTATCCCCTAAAAATGTTAGGCCTTAAACCTGTGTACTATTCATTTTATGTACAGAAATTACAATATGTTTCGATTGTAAAATGGTTTATTTCATTAATCTAAAATTATTGTATGTATAACGCCGTCAATGCAGATTTTTTGTCCTGTGCTGTACATACATTTGTAAATACTTGCATGGCAGTGACACATGTTTCGGGGAAACTGACATGATAATAGAAAAATATAATAGTCATTTAAGGAAATATTTACACACATTTCAACTGTGAAGAATATACATACCTTTTAAGGTTTTGTAGACTAAGGCCCAGTATTTATCCAATGTAATATATGTTTGCTCAATTTTCTGTCTGTGTGATATCATATAAATTCCAGTGTGTTTTCAAATTCTACACATATGCTTTAATGCGAATCGGGATGTCATCAGCCTTTGTGGAGTTCTTTGACAGATCTGAGGAACACAAGCCCACTGCTTTTGCTATACATGCACACTCGCCCTATATTCATATTTACTGTCTGAAATTTCTCGTTTCTATATGCCATTTGATCCTTATCCGGAGACTCCTGAAGTTGTTTGTCTATAGACAGAGCTACTAATGTACATACACAAACTAAATTACACAAAAACTTAAATGCACAATGGTTTTAAAAATCAAAATCAAATAATTTACAGAAGTTTGTCAATAATGGATTAAGAGCTGGGTTCCTTACTGGTCGAATAACCGAGTCAAAAATCACATGAACAACGGGGATGCTTTCAGGAAAAATAACAAGAGGTCTCTATGTATATTTACTTATCATTTGCATTTTTTCGTTCAATATATATTAATTTACTGAGCTGAGCTGCCTTGATATTAGGTTTCACTTTTCCTATTCTGTTAAACAACCAATTTGCCTTGTATGTTCGATTTACAATATCGTAGTGTTGAAGTTAGTGAAAAAATGTGATGGTCAACAATGGTTCCAACTGTTTTCATTTACATCAGACTCTAACCAAATAATGTGTCTGTAAGCACAAGAAATGCAAACAAAATCGATGTTGCACCCATTCCAAAGGAGAGTGTTGCATAGCAGGGAAGACCAGTGACTGGATACAACATTAAATGACATCAACTAAGAATGTGGGAAGGCTGAAAATACCAATAACCGACAGTTTTATCTCTGAGAGAGAAAGTTTGATCACTACCATACTCAGACCATGTATTTGATCAGGGCTTAAATATGAGAATTTATAAAGGACAATGTTTGAAATCATTCTCTCTCTCGATTTTTCCTGCATTTGTGTCTAATTAATAATAAAAAGTTCATGGATGTCCATCCCAGTCCTTTTTCTCTCCATTCAAATCTCTTCTTTATTTCAAACATTGACCACTATATTGTTCATGTTAAGGTTCGGGTTTAGAGAGGGCTATATTGAATGTTGAATTCTCACCTTTGTTTCATGGGAAAACAAAGCTTTGCTAAGTGTTTGCTCAGGGCCCAAGCAAATGGCAGGTAAATGGGTCAATATTGACCAAACCTGAATGGAATAAGCAGTAACATGGCATGGTGCTCTTGATTCTCATTAGGCACACAGAGGGGGAAAATGTGAGAAATTCAGAGGAGTATTTCTATTTACCATAAATAATATACATTTACTGGTATATGTCATTAGTCATGTTCAAAAAATGTAAACCAGAAAATTTTATTATTTATTCAGTAATTTGTACACTGTTATGATGATAATATTCTTAGAAATTGAGAGTCTGAGATCAATATAGAGTAATATATACATAGTCCCGGTTATGTCATGTAGCTGTGTCACCCTAATGGAGAGCAAACTTTTCAAGCATTTTGTTCAACTGTTTAATTGACAGTTTGAATTTCATAAAATGGAGGGAAATAAAGTTTGCATTATCATATTTCTTAGATCTGTTCATGTCTTTTAACTAAATGATTACCATTTTGAAAGTCAAATGATAACACTACCCCTTTGACTTTTACAGATTATTTGTATAATTCTTATACTGAGTTGAAAGCTTTCACCATCTGATATGGGAGTTCAAATGTAAAATTAATATTGGGCAGAAAATACAATATTGTGATTTTTGGCTCTATGTCCTGAGACCTGATTGGCTAAAGGCTTAATGAGAGAATTATCTTTAATTTGAAGAGTGTAGGCAAAATCAAAATCTCATGCAGAGTGGTGACTGATGCTAGTTGTACCACATTCTACTTTGACATTTTGTGCCACATTTTTCTTGTGTTACACTTCTCTGGGCTAAATGCTAATTCTGTATGTTACTACACAAAATACACATTGTAAATCACAATTTTCTTCATATAGCAAATGAATACAATTTTAGTCTTCAATAAAAATCAATAACTGATTTCATCTATTCACTCAAGTTTACTGTTTTCTTATATTACATAAAATCAGAAAAAGTCACCATTGACTTTTCAAGTACTGTAAGTGCTTTTCAGGACTGTTTGCATATCTGTACAAGTTATTCTTTACAAAATAACATTTCTAAAGCAACTACTTATGGAATGCCCCCACGTGCCAAATTATTCAATCAAACATATTCTGACCCATTTTATCACATTGCAAATAGAAATACCATGACACCGCTACCAGACCAAAGCATAGGATCTAAATTTTACTGATATGAATGAAAATGATTTTCATAAAGAAACAGTAGTTTTGCTTTTAGTCAAATGTTGTGAAAAAATGAAAATACATACGAGGCAAAATTATTTTCTGACTGAGGTGATTGACACATTTGCCTCACGTAGGTATGGAGCTATCATGGGCTGGGGGTACTATGAACCATTGGATCTTTGCACGATCCTAACAATAAACAGTGAAGCCCTTCAGTTCAAAGTTGTAGTTTTATTTCGGTTGAACTCCTAATGGCCTAGTCACAAAGCCCGGCCGATGAGGTTACGATGAGCCAGCGATGCAATTTTCACCGAACTCGGCCGAACAACGGCCGGACATCCGTGGCGTTTGTTGCTTAAAACCGCATCGGTGGTAGCTCGGTGAAATTTTAACTTCGGAGTTAAATTTCACCGGGCTCTCACCGAGCTCCCTCATCATGCCATCGCAGCCCCATCGTAACCACATCAGAAAACACGTCGGCCGGTGCACGGCCGAGTATCGGCCGGTGTCCCGTGCATCTGAGACAACCAGAGGACGAGGTTTTTTAACAGACAGCGGCCGAGCTCCGACCGAGCTCCGGCCGATGTGGGACAGAGCATCGGCCGGTCACTGTTCAAAGCCCGTTAACAACCCGGCCGGCGATCGCACGGTGTCCTGTTACCTGCTCGGGTACCGGCCGTATTCCTTCCGATGTCCGGCCGACCTCCGGCCGGTAGTTGCTGCCACATCGGCAGAAAAAAACTACCATTTTGAGACAGACTCCGACCGGTGTTCGGTCGGTCGCCTGAAGATGTCCGGACGGAGTCCGTTCACGTCACCGAGCTCTGCTTCCGATGAGGAGAGCTCGGTGGCACCAAAAAAATCCACCGAGCTCTACCGATGCCGGACATCGGCCGGGCTATGTGACTAGGCCATAACTAACCAACATGTTTATCTTTCCCTTGATACATTGCTATTGCTTTTCAGACTGCAAGAAATATAACATTGGAAAGATGAACATGTATCCATCAGAATTATATCTTATTCAGGTATTTAGTCATGTGATCAATTCTCAGCCAATAAGAGAGTGAGAAATAGTTCAATGATATAATAAATGTCATATTTCACACTCTTTTAGTCACCTGATTGATAGCACTCAACTAAAAACAACTTAACTGTTACCGACAGGTTTTTAGATTACTTGAACAAAAGGTTAATATCCTTAAACCTTCACAATAAACGCCGCATTTATCCAAGTTGTAACCCTCATGTGGGGAAATGCAACTTAATAACTTAAATAGGATAATCTGTTTCATAATATGGAACTATAAAGGGATTTTCACAAGGTGTACTAAATTCAGTTAAGAGTTACATAAATTAAGTAAACAATGTTATAAGATTAATCCTATGGATTGAAACATAAATTCTGACAAAGAATGACTGAGACTGGGCTTTCTAGAGTTCTTTTTAACCATGATTTGATGTTCTTTAGCAATTATTTGATGGGGGATGGTGTAATTTGAGGAAAAACAAAGTTAGTTTCATTTTGGAATAACCCCTAATCCTTTATATAATGAAGCTAAAATATTTATATACAATTATAGGGTAAAATAAAGTATTTATATTTCACACTCACAGAATTGTCATTTACCACTCCCCAGAATATTCACAATTTGAGTTGTTTTAACAATATCAATTTTTCTCAGACATATTGTCATGCTGCATGTGGCTCACAGGGTCTCATCACCTTCTTCAAGTTCATAGTCTGATGAACTAAAGTGAAATAAAGTAGAAATAATATTTTACAAAGATTCATTTTGAATTTATTGGTTTTGTTGCTGACAATGTTGGTTTGAAGTGCCATCTATAGTCGCTTTTTCATCCAAATAAAATACAATATTCACTCCATTTTATTCGCATAAATCAATTGAAGATAATCAGCTCAATGTGATTGAACTGTCATTCGAGCAATTTCATTTGTCTTGCTAGTTGATTATTGATTCATCAATACATCACAAAGCAGTACATGATGTCACAATGGGATCCAGCCCATTGCATGGCAGATATCATCCAAGCTACATCAACTCTTCTAACAGACACACTGTATCACAGGGGTCAGTCAAAATAATCTTCAATATCTACATTAGGGTCTAAGAGATCCTCTCCATATGAACTGAGGTCCATGCCATTGAGGATGAGATTCTCAAATGTTTCTTCTAAATCTGTCTCTCCAATGAGAATTGCTCCCATCATTCTTCCATCCTGCATCACAGCCTTTACATATTCTTTACCTGCAACAAGCAAAGAAAATAACATAAGGAACAGCAAAACTCTTCCAAATGCCACTGGAACCTGTAAAAAGTTTATGGATTGCAGTGCTCACATTTTAAGAGTCTTTGACAGATTCAACAAGGCATTAACATGCAAAATGTCACTGCCTGCCATTTGTTACATTGACCGCTGAATACCAAACGCTGAACATCGATGGTGTTACCTTGTGTTCTTTAGAAACTAGATTCTTTACTCTCTTTGGTATACTAGTATTATATTTTTTAATAAAAATAAATAAGTGAAAATAACCTTCAGTGACTCGGATGAGGAGTTCATGGTCAGACCCCAATCCTTGAGCATTGAAACACCCCAAAAGGATCACCTACAAAATATTAACCCAAAATGTTACATTAGAATATTAATGCATGAGACGAGGCACCAATGCAAAGAATTCATTTTTTGTTATTGGTTGCAATTTAGAGCTTTTCATGACTTCTATGTTAAAATTCTTATTTGCACAATTCAAAATGTTACATTAGAATATTAGTAATGAGATTAGACACCAATGCAAAGAATTAGGTTTTTGCTATTGGTTGCAAGTTTTTCATAAGTACTACTGTATGTTAAAATTTTTAATTGCATATTACTTGAACTTAAATGCATTACATTAATTGTGGAGGGCCTCTGCTAAACGCATTATTACCCCTTTATCATGTTAACTTTGTCTCTAAAAGGACGCACATTTAGAGTCAAGGGGGAGGATTTGGAGAGTTGATTCTTTCAGAATCATGCAGTTTTTCACCATACTGAGCACTTTTCAAGTGATTTAGGACCTAAGTTGTAAACCCCCTGAAAGGTGAACCCCCTTGGCATTAGCCAGCTACAGGCCTGAGTATGTTCCCTATTCTATCACGCATTTCAATGCGCTATGTTGACATTTGATACTAAACAGATGTTAAATGACAGAAACATATTGGTTATAAAAATATTGCTCATTTAAAGCCCATTCTGTCTTGAGAAGTTATTGTTGGTAAATGTCACACATCAGATAGCCACTGAAAATGGCAGCCAATTACTCACAATTATTTTAGATGTATCCTCAAATATAATTCCCAACATTCACACCCTTTCTCATTAAGAATTCCCGCGAGACTTGCATTTGTACATTTGTTGTATTTGTCTGTGGATAAGCATCATTAGCACTTTTATAGGAATACTAAATTGTAGACCAAATGTAATGTTATTTTCTTTCAATTCAGTGCCGACACCATATATACCCACACATTTTACAACCATGGTTTTATTAGTGTAAAACAATATACTGTTACAGTAAGTATATTGTTTCCCTTTATGTTTCCTTATATAGTTTGAAACCATTCTGCTCTACATTTATATGACATACATATATATACCTACTTTATAGTTGAAGAACTTGGTGGAATGAGCAAACATTTCAAAGCAGAAATCTAGAGTCATTTCTTCTCCTTTGCTATGAGCAGTCATACATTGTGCAGCATAGGCCCCCATCTGTCTAGCTTGTGACCACAGTCTCATCTAAAATATAAATATTTTATTCATCTATTACAATGGTACAATTACCTTCATACAGTCTAACCAACATCCTTTACATCATTTTACATTTACTGCAATTTAAAACTAGATTGGTGAAGTTCAACAAAGTTCAATTCAAGAATCCAGATTCACGATTTTAATTTAAAAAATGATTTTGACATCTGAATTTCAGTTTAAAAGCAAATATTGAACTTTAGTGTGAATATAAAGAACATGCTATCAAAACTTGGAATCAGCATTTAACTTCTATGTCTGTGACAAAGAACTCTTTCTTCCATGAGTGCTAGTGACATATTTTGATGGAAACACTGCCTTTTCCTCATATCTTCGTCCAAGTGATATTAAACACATCTGTCCATCATTCAATTTCCTACCAGTCTGACTTATTTCATGACAAGAATGTGTACTACGCACATTTAAATAGACAAATTGCTATCCATATCACAATTGCTATCACATATCACAAAAATAATAAGGTCAATTTCAAGACGTGTACTTATCCTCAATATAGCACCACTTCGTCAGAAGTGTGGTTTGTGTAAAATAAACAATACTCAAAACAAGTCCAAAAATATGTAAAATCCCCTGATGTAAAATGGAGGAATTCATTTAGAATCATAGACATTCAACGGAATAACTAATACAAACAAATAAAAATTACATACTTGATGCCAGTGTTTTGAGGGCTTCCATGATGCAGTGCAAATGTCTCCAGCCGCATAGATGTTGGTTAGGTTTGTCCTCATGTTATCATCCACCTTGACACCACCATCAGAAGCTAGTTCAAGCTGAAAATAAAATGTCATTGAGGTTAATGTCACACTGACACTGACACCACCATCTGTGTGTAGGTCCACTACAGAAGTTTTCACCTCTTTTGGACCCATAAATATTCTCCTTTATTTATTCGAATTGTTTTTGATTACAAATAAAATGTATATACAGGGTGTCAAATATATATGTTCTCTCCCATTAACATCCAAATAATGTTGCATAACTTTTTCTTCTGTGTGATATCTAAATTGTTGAGTGAATTATACTTGATAGAAAGTTGCTGTTATATACTATCAAGTAACTGAGTACTAAATTCGAGAGATTTTAAATAAGATGTTTATTGAGTGTGTAATTAATAAAACCATTTAACTTCTTGGACTTGATGTGTATCATTACATTGATATGTTCAGTATCTTGCAGGTTTTTATTAAAATGGTATTTGTATGACTCCCGGTATGACTGTAATTCCATTAGTTTTAACAAACCGAAAGGCCATAGTCTGATTATCATACAAATGTTAGCTTGTACTTGGTGAGACATATTTTGTTGTATGAATAAACTTATGACTTTGAATGATACATGTTGATATAAAAACAACATTTTTAGAGTAAGAGACTGACATTAGTTGTAGAGGTCCATGGAGAAGCTTTAACCTCTTTTGGACCCAGTAAAATTAAGTTACATGTTATCGTGGAAAAATTTGACATACACTGTGTCAGTCATTTGATATAATGCACAAAATATCTGATCATTAAGTGCTTTTAACTTCAATAACTTTAAAGTTTCCTAGGAACAAATAATTTATTAAAAGTGTGATTAGATTTCTAGGACTTGAAATGCATTAAACATATATTGAAGGTTAATTTGCTAAAAAGATAATACAGCTTTACCATTTTTGCTATTTTTTATCTTCTTATTTTATCTATTTATTTATTTGAATTACTCTTAATACAGCAGAGCACAAATACAATGTATATTAGGTAAAGATATGACAAGGGTTTTGGGAAGTCGGAGGGCCACTTGTATGTGATAATTTTTCTGAAAGATGACGTAATTCTACATCAATTCATCAATGTCTTTTTTTGTGGACGAAGAGTTTAGAGCATTTCTTACCCCCTAGAGTAATATTTTAGGGGGGGGGGGGGTAATACATTATCATTCTATAACATCAATCAAATATTTGCTATAGTACTGATTTCTACATAATATGTCACTAGTACAGTGGTTAAAGTGTATCTTAAAATTATAGGGAGATGTGTTGAATGGTTTAGGAGAAAACATAATTTATAAGAATAAATAAGCACAATTTCGTTCATTTTTTAGTCTCACCTATTTCATTTTTGCAGATTCAGAGACAAAATGAGCAGTGATGGTGCTCCAAGTAGTATGCTTAAATTATGTGTAAGCTCTATGTATGACATTGTAATATAATGATTAGAATTATTGGATGCTATTTTATATTTTTAATATGCCTTTGGAGTGCCCTACCCCCTGAAAATAGGATAAAGGGGGCATGGCACAATTGGACCAGAAATTCTATAATGACTACTCATACTGCTCCAAGTAGTATTCTAAAACAATTTTCAATCTATGTGTAATATTGTTATGGCACCACCACAAGTTGTGACATATTGTCTCCAATTTTTAACAAATGGCAGGTGGTGACATTTTGCATGTTAACATTGTTAATGCCTTGTTATGATATTGCATATTATTATATACCCAATATGTAACACTAATCCTGATTGGTCAATACCTAGTCACGTGTTCCGAAATAGATTTACTATTTCCCTCGGAAAGTTATATTCCCTCAAATGTGACGTCAGCGGGAATATACATTTGAACTATTGCCCGCTGACGTCACGATTGCAACTTCTATTACCCTTGGAAACGTCTGCGCATCATCACTGCGCAGAAGAAAAACAGAAAAATGGAGGATGAGCACAAACACAAATCAACTCCGTTCACCATGACAGACGTGCGTGAACGATACAATATAAGCAACGTGTATAAAGTTCCCTAAGCTCAATACGTCTGTGTAATTTCAAGTGTTATGATAATCTATTCCGCGTGTTAAACGCGATTGAATTTGTCAAGTGAGAGTCTCAGAGGCAAAAATTTATGTTGAGCATCTGATGACGTCACAGCTTATAATGCTAACAATGGACCCGGGGAGGGGGCTTTCTAAGCCTTTTTGGCCTTCGCAGAGGAAACGGGACAAGAGTCAGTATAGGGTATATAATAAAACAAATAGTGACTGCCTAATTTCGAGCAATAGTGTAAATGATTTCCCCTTGGGAATATCCTCTACAATGTACTATTCCCTCAGCCTGCGGCTTCAGGAATAGTACATTGTAGAGGATATTCCCTCGGGGAAATAATTTACACTATTGCCCTCAATGGCAGTCACAATTTGTATATTGTCAGTAATTGAATGGTATAATAATAATATATATGGTTCTTCCGGACATTTAAATTAACATTACAGATTTAAAGCATTTATAGGCATAGAAACTAAAACATGTTATTGGGTATGGGATATATGCACATTTAACTGAAGGTGAGTGCATTTGTACTGACATTCTGTTCAACGAGTGTGGTGGTGACATAAAATATGAACTGAGAATATATATCACAGTATTACCTGGTTTTCATCAAGGCAAGTGGGTGGACAGGGAGTAACACCCGTGGCACTAATGATGAAATCACATCCATATATCTTGCCATTGGTCAATTCAGCATATACAGCCCAACCTTTAACAAAGAGGATATAGGAATTGATGAATGAATACATAACAGTTGAAAATGACATCATAAAATATCATAACAATGTGCAATTTCAATTTCAAGCTAAATTAGAAATGATATAAAGAAAAAAGTGGGTGAATTCTGTGATTTGGATAAAAGATTGGAAAAATGAAAAAAATGAAATTTGAATCTTTAAGAAAATAATAAAATGCAAAGAATAACTTTACTTGTCTGAGTACTAATTGCCAGATTATAATAAAAGAGAAACATTATTTTATGTGATTTGATTATAATTTGGGTAAATATACATTCATGCTAAAATCTTCATGATTTTAGTCTACAGAGCCATGTATTTTCCATCTCTGCTTGTAAAGAGAGTCCAAGAAAGATGCAGTGAGTATCAGAAAGATATGAGAACCAATGAAGGGTTTCAAATAGAGTTTTGAATGCAATCAAAACATAGAATATTTTTGTTTTCAAGATACTTCCTCAAGTCAGATGTCCTAATTTAGAATATACATGTATTTTTTCTTAAAGGGGTTTTCCTTGCCAGACCATCTCTCTCCTAATGTGGTAGCTATAATCATATACATACTTTGCAAGTTTATCAAAAAACAGAAAAATGTTTTGAAATGGTCAATATTGATCACTAAAAGATGTAGTGCTCAATTCCAGTAGGCTGCCATCTTTTAAAATTTCACTCAGGAAGTGATGTCATCGACTCTCAACTTTTCATATAACATAGGTAAGGAGCTATTAGAATTACTAAACCAGCTGAATATTTTTTTCAATTTGGTCTATGATTAAAATCCTTTTGATGATCTCTTTAGTTCTAAGTTGACAACTCCTGAAAATATTTTTACACAGAAGATAGGGGCTTCTTGTTTAGAAGTGATTTTGTACTTCTTTCCTATACTGTAATAGACAAGGTCATAACAGGTGAGAGTCGATGACATCACTTCCTGAAAGAAATCTGAAAAGATGGCAGCTTACTGGGAATGAGTACTACATTTTTAAATGATCAATATTGACCATATGAAAACATTTTCCCGTGTTTTGCTAAATATGTAAAGTATATATATGATTGTAGCTACCATATCAGGAGAGAAATAGTCTGGCAAGGAAAGTTCCTTTAAGAAGTCAACCATCCTCCAATTCTGCCTCTTACCTGGTCACACTTTCTTAACATATAAGAAACCAAATTAAGTCAATCAAATTGCCTTGTATGGGTGCTTACTATGATTTAAGAGTGTTTTATCTCCTCCAGGAGATTTCAGGAGATCACTGTGTTCAGTAAGATTTGGCACGACATCAGCAGTTTTTCCTGACTCTCTCATTTCCTCAGCAGTATAAATTGCTTTAACTTCAACTTTGTATTCCACATGAATGTTGTGGGATTTCTAAAATATATTATGCAATGATATTTTATCATTCTGATTGATATAATATGTATCATATGTATATTATTAATAACTGGGCAAATAAAGTTTAGCTTTGTACTGATCAGGAATAAAATAAATTCAGAACTTAGACCACTAACATGACAAAATGTCACCACCTATTGCTCACAATATTATTAGTTCAATCTTTCAGCCGGATTTGAACATCTGAGAACTTGTAGATGATTTTGAAAATAACTGGTCAATTTGAAGCAAGTTTTGATAATTTTGAAAAAAAATTGGTCAATTTAAAAGGCAAGTTGAAAAACTACCATTTTGACCTTTTTCTAACTTGAGAAGGTCATTGAAGGTATTAAATCTAAAGTCAGATTTGAACTTCTGAGAACTTGTAGATGATTTTGCTGAACAATGTGTGTCACCCTTTAAGTTATTGAAAGTTAAAAGAATTTGTTACAGATGCCAAACATCTTGCCACCCACCGCCTGCTGTAACAAAAAATGGAGACCATAACAATATGTCACCACTCCTGGTGGTGACATAATAATATAATAGTTGAACAAACATGATTAGGTTGTTATTCAATTAACATTGACACTGACTATCCATCTACCTTTGTTTGGCCTTTCATATCTATCCCTGAATGCCAATCTGGTCCTAGAGCGCCCCCATGTGATCCTTTGGTAGAACTACTAACACCAGGGGTTTCTGAAATGTGAAGAGTTTAAACGTATGCAGTACATCACAATTCATGTATAATGAATATATTGTCCAAATATTAGTTTTCTATAATTGGTGAAAATGAACTTTAAACGTTTTACAGTACTTAACATACCAGCTGTGGCATATTCCAAGTGTTGACAAGCATATCTAAGTCACTAGCTATAGTGCTCTAAAAATCCAACTGTTTTTCTGAGGAATTTTGGAACAAATAAATTGTAATTTTCAAAACCTTTTCTGGTAGTTTTAATTGATTTTGCCCTTTGAAACAGCCGCAAGGCATAAACATGCAAAATATCACCATTTGTTAGACACCAACCACCGAACACCAACTGCCAATGCCAACTGCCAAACACCATCCACAACAAAGTTTGAGACCATAACAATATGTCACCACTTCTAGTTGTGACATAATAAGTTGATGTTTACTCCGACTTGATTCATAACATACATACTGTAGTGCATGTTATTTGCATACATGGAATTCAAATGCAGCTTTAAAACATTTTATTTCATAATATTTCAACCTGTACAAAAACTTTCCAGGAACAGGTATTTCATATTTCAACACCTACATACCTGCTGTAGTGTATTTCAATCTCTTCATTGGACCACCTGACTCTGTACTTTTGTCATTCTTCAGTTGAGGTAGGAAAAATTGAGCAGCACCACAGTCAACAAATGTGCTTGTTATAGAATCATCCTTTACTGCCCAAATTATGTCACATCCTTCTATTTCATAGCTGAAATACAAATGTATCATTGGTGAGATTTCATATTAGGATGGATTGTAAGTCAAAAATTAGTACCGTGGGTACTGGGCTCACATGGTGTTGCTCAAAAGTGAAAATAAAAAAGACGGGTATAATTTTTGCAGATTTTTTGTGACAAAATTATTTCATACAACTACTCTTTACAAAGACATGGCTTTTTACAATGCAGGGCACCTGAACTTATTTGTAAAGCTAGGAAATGGGCCAAAAGTGAATTTCCCGAGATAGAAATGGTGGCCATTTTGAAATTAGGCGAGATTTTGAAGCAGGAGTCACAGGTTTTTTTTCTTTATTGATGTTGAACAAAATTATTTTAAATCGGGAATCCTATCTACAGAGGATTTAAAAAGTGTTGACAGAGGTTTAAAACTTGCCACTTTTTTGGACTGACTGAGAGACAGATGGACGAATCAATGTTAACTAAAATGGCTGGAAATAAAAAAACTGATATAATATTTTGCCGAATTTTTGTAACAAAATTATTTCATACAACTACTCTTTACAGTGACATGGCTTTTTACAATGCAGGACAGCTGAAATTATTTGTAAAGCTAGGAAATGGGCCAAAAGTGAATTTCGCGAGACAAGAATGGTGACCATTTTGAAAATAAGCGAGGTTTTGAACCAAGAGTCATAGGAGAGTTTTTTGTATTGATGTTGAACAAAATTAACTTAAAACAGGAATCCTATTGACAGAGGGTTTAAGGCAAATGGTCCAAAAGTGGATTTTGCGAGACAGATGGACAAATCAATGTTAACTAAAATGGCTGAAAATAAAAAAAATGGATATCATTTTTTGCTGATTTTTCGTAACAAAATTATTTCATACATCTACTCTTTACATTGACATGGATTTTTACAATGTAGGACACTTGAAATTATTTGTAAAGCTAGGAAATAGGTCAAAAGTGAATTTCGCGAGACAAAAATGGCGGCCATTTTGAAAATAGGCGAGCTTTTGAGCCAGGAGTCATAGGGGAGTTTTCTGTATTGATGTTGAACAGAAATAACTTAAAACAGGAATCCTATCGACAGAGGTTTTAAAACATGCCACTGTTGTTGACGGAAAATGGATTTCACAAGTCAGATGGACAAATCAATGTTAACTAAAATGGCTGAAAACAAAAAAATAGATATAATTTTTCGCTGATTTTTTGTAACAAAATTATTTCATATATCTACTCTTTACATTGACACAGATTTTTACAATGTAGGACACCTGAAATTATTTGTAAAGCTAGGAAATGGGTCAAAAGTGAATTTCGCGAGACAAAAATGGCGGCCATTTTGAAAATAGGCGAGCTTTTGAACCAGGAGTCATAGGGGAGTTTTCTGTATTGATGTTGAACAGAAATAACTTAAAACAGGAATCCTATCGACAGAGGTTTTAAAACGTGCCACTATTGTTGACGGACGGACAGACAGACGGACAGACAGACGGATGGACGGACGGACAGACAGACGGACAAGTGAGCGATTGCAAAAGCTCACCATGTGAGCTAATAATAAACCATTGCAACTGTCTTTGCCTTTGTGTATACTTATGAAAACTTCCTAATGTAATGTCTTGAGAGTGCAACATTGAACATTTGTCTTGCATATTGTATATTTGAAACCCCCTCCCAGCAAATAATCTTTCAAAATCATACAGTTTTTCAAATTATTCTGAGCATTTACATTTGATTTTGGGCCAACATTGTTAAATGTTGACCTCCCTAGATTGTTTTGAAAATGAATCCTCTTGGCAAAAACTGGTTATGGGCCAACATGCTGTATTTGTCAAGTTTTCAGTCTAATAGGAGTATGGGGACTTTTTATGGTGTACATTTCCCACAAACAATCATTTTGTGCTCTTTACTTTAATTTAAGGAAAGGATATACATGTGCATCTAATTTTCTAAACCTACACTATTTCTGTTGCTATGCCACCATTCCCAACCACCAAGATCCTTTGGGCATTTGCCAAGCGATTTTGTAGTTCCTGAAACAAGTTTCAGATATATTGCTCATCTTCTATTGACTTATACTGCATGCTCAATCGTATCATTAAATAATGGTGAAATTCAGCACAAGTCGTACAAAGCATGGACCAAAGGTGAGTGCATTTGTACTGACATTCTGTACAGAGTGTGGACATTTCATCATATTGAATGGACAATCATTATTTATTACGATTCAAACAAAAAATGAAGAAAATATAGTTTAATTTTTTATCATTCTCTCATCAAAATTTGTTAGTGGCCATTCCCAGACAGAGTCCTGGATGTGACATCACAATACAATGCAGATTCCCGGATGTGCAGAACGCACAGGTGTGCATTTATGGAGAACTAGAGAACAGCTATGCTGCATTCTGATTGGTTGAGAAACTAGAGAATTGTCATGTTTGAATACCCTTTAAATTAGATTTTGGTAAATATGTTAAATCTATTATACTATCTTTAATGCATAATCAATAAGGCATAAACAAAATTTCATCACCTGATTGCCGTTACAAAAGTGTAACAATCATTACAGATTCCAGAATGCTGAATCCTGGTCACAAAAATGGGTGGAAGAATAGCACTAATGTGGCATTGACAGTCTTTTATATTGGGAATTAATAATACAAAGATAAGAAGAAAAGTTTTTACTTATACCTTCACACTCTCTGTATCGCGTATGCCAATCACATGGGGGTTTTGTGGGGCTAATAGTTTTGGTACACCCCCTGTACAAATACACAACTTCTCATAGCTGAACACACCTTGGTCAGTGTACACCTCCTGGAAAATAAAATAAAAGATAACTGAAAGGTTATCCCAACCATCAGGTTTCAGTTTAAGAAAATGCATTAAAATGTGAGCATCTTTTTCAAGGTTTATTTTCTAGTCATTTGAGTACTTGTTAATGTTATAAATAGATTACAACATGAAATATTTTCATCTTCATTTTTGAACAATCTAACCATTTTTGCATTGATCGAAGCACTAAAGGATAAGTTAGGATATATGGCCTTTTGGTTCCTCACTAAAATGTTTGTGAAATATTCTTTTTATGACTGTCCTAGTTATATTTGATAAGTATATGCACTTTTTCCTGAGTTTTCATACAAAAAACACCAATGGCAACATGTATCACATGAAGAATTTTTTGAGATATCTTTTAGGTTTTTAAATTTTTTTCAAACTTGTGAATTTCCCGCCAGTTTAATTTGAAGGGGCAAAATCAGGATGACTGCCATTTGATGAAGGAAATATCAGAAAAAGTCGCTTCACTTTTAATTTTCACATTGAGCACAGTTTATGGTTTGAATTTTTTTATTGATTCTGACTGTTCATCATCAGGGTCATATATACAGATTATAAAATTGAAACCATCAACATGAATTTTGCAGAAATATATACAACTCCAACAACACAATTGAAGTTTCAAAATTGGTTGCTCAGTTACTTTGAGTAACTGAAATCCCTTGATTAGGCCATAAGAAGTAGATGCTTTGTTTTGCATCCTGGACAAATCCATATCATGCAATGGTACAAGGAAAACAAACACAAACTCAAGAAAAAACACAAGCTTTTTTTTGCTGAGAAATGTATATATTTCATGGGCATAAAAAGGGATGACATACCATTTTGCAGTGATTACAAACACATATCTATACATTTTATACATTATATTTAAACATATTATTCAAGGGTAAAAAATAAAAACAATACACAATGTATGCCAAAGTAATCAATAACACTGTCAATTTTGATGCACATCAAATTATCCGCAATTTCATCTGATTCTGATTGAACAAAATACAATGGTACTTTCAAACCCTTGTGATTGCTATTTGGATGTGTTTGTTTTTTCTGATTTACTCAAAATGGTGCAAGCAAGGGGACGCAAAACAAAGAATCTACTTCTTATGGCCTTACCCAGATAAATAGAGATTGACTCATCAAGAAATATCATTCAATATCTATTCAAAGAAAGTAAGCAATGTTTTGGAGGATATATGTTTCAAACTTTTTGAATAAATTATTCATTTAGTATTTGCTCTTGAAATTGTTTCAATTCTGGCATACTTATATGCAATGTCTTTGATGCCAATATTCTTCATTAATTGTGATACAAATTGATATTCTTTGACTCTCAGAAGAAGGTTGGGATATCAAGTCTGTGATTGAGTTTTTTTTAGATTTACAACCAATTGTTACATCCTGACTATATCTGTTTTCAAGAGGATCTCTGTCAATCAATCCCTCTAACCTCTGAACCCTTTATGTTCAACACAGTTGAGATCTGGACTATTTCCTACATTCCTTTCAAATGTGATATGATTCACCTTATAACAAAGGAGTTTTTGCTGTAGAGGGGGGGGGTGCCATTGTTTTTTGACACCCTGTATAAAAATGCATAGAAATCACTTCTTGAAAAGGTAAATATTGAAAGATTGGCAATGTCCTTATGTCTGGACAATGGCCAATGTCTCTAGGAAAATGTCTTAACATTGCCCTGGAGTATGGAAACAATCAGAGTGCTCAGAAGACAAAAACACTTTTGTGCATTACTTCAAACTCATTCCTTTTAGACTAACCATAAAATAATATACACGTATGCATAATCTTTGACAGGGAAGGCTGCTGTTTGAATATAAACAAATAGCACATTAAGATTAAACTTTACTACTGCACCAAAAGGTATTGAAATATAAAGTTTGGGGAAACAGATTTTAAGGTGATTTCTCTGTAAAGCAAAAAATGAGCAGATTAACCCATAATGATAAGTGTTTTGAATGGTACAGGCTGAAGCAGCACAATGCAACTTAACTAAACATAGTCAAGTCACAGAGTGCTCAATTCCACACCATTGAATAGAATCTTCAAGATGGATTATATTTCTTTTATTGACAATAGTGTCAAACCATGAAGTCTATGTACAAACTAAGAAACCAATCTAACTAAGGATTAATACACAAGTTTGGCAATATTGTGATGACTGTGTACTATGTTATAATATAAATTACAGGCCCGTAGACAGGATTTGCAAAGGGGGGTTTCACTTTTTGAAAAATTCCAGGGAGAACAATTTTGGTCCAAAAATGGCAAAAATCACTCAAAAAATGCTCAGAATGGTGAACTGCATGATTTTGAAAGAAATTTGGGCCAGGGGGGGGGGGTGTTCGCTCGAACACATTGAACCCCCATGGCTAGACAGGCCTGAATTATTATAAGGTAATAAAGTAATCATTGTCAATTTTCAGGCATCAGTTTGCATGGAAATACATAGACAACTTTCCAGACAAGATGTAAGGATAAAAAATAAAAAATTAGTACCGTGGGTACTGGGCTCACATGGTGTTGCTCAAAGGTGAAAATAAAAAAGACGGGTATAATTTTTTGCAGATTTTTTATGACAAAATTATTTCATACAACTACTCTTTACAAAGACATGGCTTTTTACAATGCAGGACACCTGAACTTATTTGTAAAGCTAGGAAATGGGCCAAAAGTGAATTTCCCGAGACAAAAATGGTGGCCATTTTGAAATTAGGCGAGATTTTGAAGCAGGAGTCACAGGTTTTTTTCTTTATTGATGTTGAACAAAATTATTTTAAATCGGGAATCCTATCTACAGAGGATTTAAAAAGTGTTGACAGAGGTTTAAAACTTGCCACTTTTTTGGACTGACTGAGAGACAGATGGACGAATCAATGTTAACTAGAATGGCTGAAAATAAAAAAACTGATATAATATTTTGCCGAATTTTTGTAACAAAATTATTTTATACAACTACTCTTTAGAGTGACATGGCTTTTTACAATGCAGGACAGCTGAAATTATTTGTAAAGCTAGGAAATGGGTCAAAAGTGAATTTCGCGAGACAAAAATGGCGGCCATTTTGAAAATAGGTGAGCTTTTGAGCCAGGAGTCATAGGGGAGTTTTCTGTATTGATGTTGAACAGAAATAACTTAAAACAGGAATCCTATCGATTGAGGTTTTAAAACGTGCAACTGTTGTTGACGGAAAAGTGGATTTCACAAGTCAGATGGACAAATCAATGTTAACTAAAATGGCTGAAAATAAAAAAATAGATATAATTTTTCGCTGATTTTTTGTAACAAAATTATTTCATATATCTACTCTTTACATTGACACAGATTTTTACAATGTAGGACACCTGAAATTATTTGTAAAGCTAGGAAATGGGTCAAAAGTGAATTTCGCGAGACAAAAATGGCGGCCATTTTGAAAATAGGCGAGCTTTTGAACCAGGAGTCATAGGGGAGTTTTCTGTATTGATGTTGAACAGAAATAACTTTGAACAGGAATCCTATCGACAGAGGTTTTAAAATGTGCCAGTCAAAAGTGAATTTCGCGAGACAAAAATGGCGGCCATTTTGAAAATAGGCGAGCTTTTGAACCAGGAGTCATAGGAGAGTTTTCTGTATTGATGTTGAACAGAAATAACTTAAAACAGGAATCCTATCGACAGAGGCTTTAAAACGTGCCACTATTGTTGACGGACAGACAGACGGACGGACAGACAGACGGACAAGTGAGCGATTGCAAAAGCTCACCATGTGAGCTAAAAAGGCCAACTGAGAATTTATCGGAAATGCCCAAAAAATCAAATTTCGCTGCCATCTTTAAAAAAAAATTTCTACTGCATTTATGTCTTGGATCAAGAGGTCATGAAGGTAATTTCCGAAAAAAATATTGATAAAAAACAAATATGCATCTTTATCATGATTATCCAGTTTTGACAGTCAGATAAGCCTGAGATAACACCCTAATCAGATCGCAACCAATCAGATCGCGTGATACATACAAGACACATGTGGAAAACCATGATGATATGAAATTCACCTTCATAACCTGGTGAATATCGTAAATCACCTACAAGTAGGACTTCCCAAAACCATGCTTTAAGCATCTAGATCTATGAAAAACAGTTTACCTGAAAACACATTGACCTTAACCTACAGACATGTATACGAAAAAGAAAGTTCATACTGGAAACCTCAAAATGTGCCCCAGTTGCCCAAAAACAAGATCCATGATCCCATGTTAAACAAATGGGGAATGGTTGGGTTGCCATAAGTCATATGAGGAACGATCCATCCATCCGATTTCTCTCAAAATTGAAATTGTGAGAGCTAATTAATTTGCTAAATTGTCCATTCGACAAAATATGATTTAATTGTCCAGGCTTTACAAAAGTTAATGGTTTCAAATTCAATAATTTTTTAATGATCCGCTAATTGAAATAACTCAGGTGGTTCAGTGAGGTAGTCAAAATTACTTTAACGCTCCGTATCGCTAATTTTAACAACATAAGCGAGACATTTAGCATGTAAAATGTAAAATCATTCAATTTTCTACCTAGAAAGTATTTTTAATAAATGTTTTACTGAATAGATATTCCAAAATCTGAGTTGCCCCTAAGCCACCATTCCCCATTTGTTTAACATGGGATCTGCCATTTTTGTTAAATTTCATGAAATTAATCAATTTTGACATCAAATTTTGACCCAATGTAATGGAGATATGACATTGAAACGTTGCGGACTTCATAGGGAATAGAATCAAGATACAGATTTATTTACTTTATTGGGTTTTCTTTTGTTCCCCGCTTAGAAAATAGTCGTTCAAACAAATATGGGGGTTAACATGTAAACCTATGAGGAAAACCACTGGTCCTTAACTTTTTTTGAGGAGTATAGTTTCATTTGAAATGTGTAAACAAGATAATTATTAATTGTGTATCATATTTATTTAAAAAAATATTTTTTGAAGATTTAACTATCTTAATCTATGAGATATAATAGTAGATGTACAATTATATTTTGTTATAGACAGTTTTGTACATGTTTTAAACTGACTAAAAGATTTTTTACAATATGAACATATAAATTTCACTCCATGGTGAATATCTTTAAGATACTACACAAATATTGAATGATGTTGAGAGCAATACCTGTATATATTTCTGAGAAATATATACAGGTATTGCACGAAAAAAGAATTCAATATTTGTTTTATTATTTTACCCATTTACGTGTATTACAAAATCTGAGAAGAAAAGAAGAGATACATATTAACAGTTGCTGGAATTACACCACAAAATCCGCTAAAACGTTTTAGTGGAAGACGCTTTACAAAATCGCCATTCTGATTACACCTGCATTTCTAAAGCGTCTTAGGATTTATATATTGGAATTACACCTGTTTTTTCTAAAACGCCTTTCGTGCACTTTTAACGATGTAGTTATGGATAACATCCAGCATACATGTATGTGTACATCTCCTGTAAATGTATTCTTTTTGCATCTAAGACAAAACTGATATTCCATAATTTGATTAGAAATGCATGACATTGCATAATTTTTATCTTTTATTAATTATGAGAAAACATAATAAAAGGTGAAAGAAAAATATGTACATATTCTCTGAAGATAACACTTGATTTCGATGTGACCATCATCCATTTTATCAATTTAGATATAGCCAGATAGCAGCGTGACCGAATGTCTCATCATGTATCAAATGTTTCAAATGTATCAAATATTTCGTTTAGGGAAAATGTTAAAAACTAGTAAAAAACCGGGTAAGGCGTTTTACAAAAACCGATCGGTATTACACTGCACACTTAAAACGCCTAACGACTTATGCCGTTTACTAGTGACAAGGGTTCTTGGAGTTTTAGAAAAGCGCTTTTGTAAAACCGCAATCGTGATTACACCTAATTCTTAAACCTGGTTAAAACCGAAGAAGCTTTTGTAAAACGCCAGGTGTAATTCCAGCAAGTTTAACAATATTAATTTATTAACTACATATTGTCTCAAAAATTGAAAATTTGTGACAGTATTTACATTAAAAAGGTTTTTCCCCAGAGTGAATTTTTTTATGATATTTCAAATAACTATTTTTGTAAAATGTCTGACATTCAAATGCTTCTTGCCCAATGTGACTTTTTTGAAGTCTATGCCTTCTTAAATCAAATGAACGAGACTTCAATCAGTATTTACATTTAGGAGTTTTTTCCCAAGTGTGAATTCTTTCATGATTCCTAAAATGATCAGTTTGCATTTGTGACAGTATTTACATTCAAAAACTTCTTCCCCAGAGTGAATTCTCTCATGTATTTTCAAGTCATCAGATCTTGAATACAACTTTGAACAAGATTGACATTTAAACTTTTTTTCAAAAGTGGGGATTCTCTCATGTCTCTTTAAAGAACTAGTATTTGTAAAACATTTGGGATTGAAGTAACATATAGGTTTTTCTCCAGTGTGAATTCTTTCATGAATCTTTAACTGACTGCTTTCCATAAAATATTTGTGAGAATTATAATTTACGTTCAAATGGTTTGTAAGTGTGGATTTTCTCATCAGCCTTTAAATTACCTCTTTGCGTAAAACATTTGTGACAGAATTTATATAACCTAGTCATTTTGAATCATATTATTCAATCCCCATATTGATCAATCCCCATTTTTTCATTATTTATCTCAACAGGTCCCTTTTATCCCCTTGCATCAATTACTTTTACATCCAGTATGTTACATATTTAAAATCAAGTTGTTTGCCAGTCACTGTTGTACACTAGTGTGTGTTCTTTTGTTTAAACCAGTTTTGTATGTTGTTTCATGCTGCGTTTGTTTCACTTTTCATTCATGTCTTCATGTAAAATATATATACATGTAGGTCACATTCACTCACTCATGAGTTTGGGTGTTGGCTGTTTTTACATATGCAGTAGTTGAGAAAGTTAGGACAGCTAAGAACTATGATCTTTTAATAGATATGTTAATATTTTATATTTTGGACTTTGTTGATTTTTATCTGCCACCCACGGGCTTTCCATCGCCCATTTACATTTACAATCAAAAGGTTTTTCCCCAGTGTGCATTCTTTCATGAGTCTTTAAATTATTATTTTGAGTAAAACATTTGTGACAGTTTTTACATTCAAAGGGTTTTTCCCTAGTGTGAATTCTTTCATGTCTCTTTAAATTACTGGTAATATTAAAACTTTTGTGACAATATTCACATTCAAAAGGTTTTTCTCCAGTATGAACTCTTTTATGAACCTTTAATTTACTACTTTCGGTAAAACATTTGTGACAGTATTTGCATTCAAAAGGTTTTTCCCCAGTGTGAATTTTCTCATGAGCCTTTAAATTACCACTGTTTGCAAACCATTTGTGACAGTATTTACATTCAAATGTTTTGTCCCTAGTGTGAATTCCTTCATGAGTTTTGATCCTTTTCGATTTTGAAAAAGACTTCACACTGTATTTAAATTTAAACATTTTCTTGTCAATGTGATCTCCTCCATTGCTGTCAGAATTGCCCTTCTGCTCACCACATATTTTTCCATAATTTGTCTTATTATCATTGCCAGTGTTTAACACTTCGGAAGCAAATACACTGTCTCCTAGAATATTTCCTGCCGGTTCTTTCTTCACATTTAAATCTGTATTCAACTCTTTGGTCTCTAGATCAGTCTTTATTGCAAGGCCAGCCTTCCATTGACCTATCATATACAAGTCTATTGGTTCTTCTTTTATTAATAGTTCTGTTTGTAGAATATTATCAGAATCATGTCCAGTTACATTTTCAATGTCAAATTTAAGTTTATCAGTCCTCCTGACAACAGTATCGAACTGCCCTGCTCTCTTCAAATTAGAGTCAGTAGTATCACTAAGACAACGTCCTACACTCTGTTGTTGGTTTATATCCATTGAGGGATATCCTACTTGACCCTCAGATTCATGACATGGAGCATCCTGAACAACTATATCTTCCATCTCTAACGTACTTCAATGGATGCTTATCATCTACTTTAGTACCAAGATGGTTAATCGCTAAATGTCCACAAAATGGGATATTGATTTTACATATATTCAGATGTTCTTTTAGATATAGGAATACACTCTGTTATGTCTTAAAGAAGTGAGTCATTGATTTTCAGCATACACAATGGGTACTCATTTCCTAGTTAGTGCACATATAAGTATGTTTAGAGGTTCAGTCCCATCATTAGTGGCACTTTATATCTTCCATAGTCTCTTTAGGTTAGAATAACCTTACCAGATTCAGTTCCCTTTAGACTAAACCAAAACTTATGGACCCACCTTCAAGTCTGAAAATACATTGAACACAATACTAGAGACATCTACCTGAATGTGAGGTACAGGGTAACGGTTACAAAGATCAGCAACAGGTTCATTTATATTATGTATTATGGAACAATTCTAGTATTTCATTGTTGAATGTATCTTCAGAATAGAAGTATGTATAATCAACTGCATAATTGTGCCATGTAGCTCCCATCTTTTTGAAAGTAGGGAGAACAAAAGAGGACAGAATTCAACTTATTCAGTCACAATGATCTATAGACTGTCTGGTATCTATCTTCTAAAATATGTTTACCTAGCTTTAAAGATGATGACCTGTCTGTTTAGAGTTAAAGTTGTTTAGCAGACTGTTTACTAATGTTCACCAGACTGTGTGCTTACTGTAGTACTGTACTGTTACTTAAGATGTACATATCAGATGGTTTTTACTTAAAATGTAAATGAGACTGTTTCACTAAAAGATGTACACCAGACTTTGTACACTTAAAGATATAGTACACCAAACTACTTTACTTAAATATGCAAACTAGACTTAATATTCTATGGTGAAATTCCTTGCAACCTGATTGGTCCATGCTACTTAAACATATTCTGTACTTAAATGCACTCTCAACTTAGCGTGGGATACAGAGTGAAATTGAGAATATTTTGTCTCAAAAGTCTGTATTTCACTCTGCTAGTACCTCACTAAATACAAACTTTCTCGAGCAAAATATTTTCTGAAGTCAACACGATTATTCAAGACCCCAGTGCGTCGTTAAATCGACTCGACAACTTTTTCCTGCACCACTACTCATGAGATCAATTAAAAATGTTAATCACTTACATGTTGAGCTGCACTGATTGCACTAACTGCTGTGTGTATGGCTCGAACATTTGCACATTGAGTGTTTATACTTGAAACTGCTTTCTCTTCTACATCAAACTCTTCCAGAGTTTTTCCAATCTATAAAACAATTATTTTCAAAATAACTAGTAGTTTTGACTTCATTATTTATAGGGTAATCTTATTCACACACCAGGACGACGGTCATCTCAACCCCAAGTCAACCCAGTACAACTCAAACCAGTAAAACTGACAACCGTGATAAAACTCAACCCCAAGTCAACTCAACCCTGTAAAACTCAACCCCAGTAAAACCCCATTCATTTTTGCAACTTTGATAATCTAGCATTTTGCATATTTTGAACAACATTTTGACAGACATTTAAACATCTTTTTAAATCAAATTTTAGGAAAATATAATTTTGGCAATTAACAATGTTAATGTATTAACAAAATCATTGAGAGAATATTAATTTAGAATTGTTGGAAAAGTACCCAAAGATAGATAATATATCGCCAGGACCTTTTTCTAATATAGAAAATTTGTCAATATTTGTCATCCCTCGATATTCCTTATAAGGGGTGGGGCCTAATTACAGAGAATATGGTACTCAGAACATGTATGATGACACTTCTATAAAATAAAAAAATGAAGGAATTGTGTGATGCAAACAACCTCGCCATCTTTCATTGACATTGGTAAAAACTTGTATATATAGAACTTTTGAGCTGGTTTTGATGTCCAATGGGTATGATTGTCAATTCATTGGAAATATATGTACTAACGAAGTTCAAAAATAAGTTTCAAAAAACACTGATAAATACACAAAGAGTCCCTTTTATAAAATTGTTTTACTATACATAGGGGTTTCATTAGCAGCAGGCAACAGGCAATTTTCACTGGTTGTATTCACAAAATCACCTGTTGTTTTTAAGGACTTTTCAACTTTTCCATGTTAAATTTATGATTTCCATTAATTTTGCCTGTTGTTTTCATTTATTTAGCCTGTTGTGAGAAATTCTAGTGAACCCCCTGTATACATAATTTGGTGAGGGCTTCTTACCTTTTTGTAGTTGGTAACAGATTTGATGAGTGATGATGCAGTTAGGAGAAGCACAGAATCATCTGGTGAAACATCAGCAAGCTAAAATATAAATAAATCCTGAGCTTGAGGCAAAAGTCTATTTAATTCATTGACAGTATTTATACAGCCAGAATGGCATATAAAGTTCAATACATACACAACTGTGACCTCCCCAGCATTAAAGCAAGTGGGTGCAGCACCCACCTGAGATTTTGATAGTAGCCTTGCATCGAGCTGAGAATCTATTTGCACCAACTTGAAAATGAGAAAATCATGAAAAATAAGCATATTTTGACCAATTTTGGTCTGAAATACGAAAAAGATAATTTTGAACCCACTTGAGAAAAATCCTGTTGAGATCACTGCATAAGTATTTCAATTTATAATTCATCCCTTACCATTTCAGCACATGACACCCCAGCTATCCCTCCACCTATGATGATATACTTGGATGCACCATGGTTCTCTCTAGCTTCCATTGATCAAGATATTTTATTATGTTCAGCAGTTACATGTAGATCCTAGTCTGTAAGTCTCAGCAAAGGGTGCAATTCTCAATGTATTCAGAGACTGGATTGTTGATGGTTTTTAAAACCAAAATGTGCCCTCTATATTATATTATCTACTGTTGTTTTATGGTTGCACTCTGAAAATACAAGAGTTATGTTATAGGAGCTTTGAAAATTAGAAAAATTGTCTGAAACAAGTATTGTGGTCATAAAATGGAAAAAACATAGCTTCTCAAATCAGTTTTTTTCATTTTTTCTCTCTATTTCTAGAAATTGTTGTTAGTCGAGTGAATGTTTTTTTGGCCAAATTCCAATATTGCGTTTTCTGCATGGACATTTATTTTCGTAAATCTCAACATATTGGAAATAGGTTGAAAAAACATTTAATCGCTCACTTGATCGAAAAAGAAGTATTTCAGCGCTCTAATACTTGCACAGATGGATGATACTGAATGATGTAAGACACAGTTAGAGACCAAAAGTAAGCCGCTGATCTCATTATTCACGTTTTAAAGGTTACTATTATTCAGCTGTCCAGTGCGCCGTGAGAAAGCTATTATCAAAATCCACATATCTTTCGAAGGAAATAAAATATAGCATTTTCACGGTATCATCCTCCTAAGCAGGTGTCCAGAATCCGAACCTCCTTCTTCCCCCTGCTGTAACCAATTTGTAAGCGCCCGATTAAACTGAATCACGTGATCTAATTATACGCAATGACTTATACATGATTTCTGTCGCAGTGTTGCGACAGCCAATCAGATTGCGAGTTCTTAATCGGGGAAATGTTATCTGCTTATCGCAGGGGGTAAAAAGAAAGAATATATTCTGGATTTTGAAGCCCTGTGATCGGAGGTTGCACGGTATAGGTACCAGGCTTTCACGATAACACTACCACAGTCATGCATGGCAGGATCCTTGAAACACTTGAAACACTTTATAAATAACATGGTGACTGTCCCGAGGTGACGGTTGTGCCAGGCATACGCCTTGCAATAGATAGGCCTAACATGTGAATAAGAATTAGGCCTAAGCTATTACTAAGGCCTCTTGGGAAAATGAAATTGAATTTCGAAAGCGGACACAGGATGACAGATGGCAGGATTTTTATCGACACAGGGGAGGATCTGGAAACTAACAAGTGGGGGGGCAAATTTCAGGTCAGAGAAAAAATTTTGGGCCCCTAAAACCCAAAAGTGGGCCAAAATTTTGAGGCCCATTCTCTCCAAAATTTGGCCTGAAACTAAAAAATAAGGCCTACAAGCAGGAGGAGTGAGTAGCTCCCATAATTCTTTCATATTCTATCGTATTCGGGGATTCCCCATTACATCATCTCCAACCAAATTCCAGGATTCGATCACGTGAACAATCATGAGCACGTGCTCTCTCAGTGCTGCGCATGCTCAGAGTTAAATTTGAAATCTTGGGAATGGCGTTAAGGTTCAGCTGGAAAGTGACATTTTGGTAAAAAATTGCTATACCTGCACATGTTATTTTCTGGTACATAATTAAGTATGAAGGCATGTGTGTATTTCCTTGCTTTTTTCAGGAAAGTATCATTACACTGTCTACTTTTAGTAAACCTGGAAACAGGTCAATGGTAGCTCCTGTGTTGTCTGGAAACTTTGAAAGAAAATTTGGAAAAACAGGAAGTGTGAAATATCAGAATTCCCTGGAGTTCCCTTTGAACGCCTACCAGATATTCTAAAAGAAGACAATGTAATGATACTTTCCTGAAAAAAGCAAGGAAATTGATACATGCCTTCATACTTTATTTTGTACCAGAAAATAACATGTGCAGGTATAGCAATTTTTTACCAAAATGTTACTTTCCAGCTGTACCTTAACACCAGTTCAACATCATCATTTCAAACCTACAGTATTTATAGTTACTCGATCCGTACTTGTTACCCCCATAAATGTGGGGTTATTTTGAGGTTCTTTGATAGTTATGTAAATATTAAAAATCCTCAAAATAACCCCACATTTACATGTTTATGGGGGTAATACTTGTAGGCCTAGAGATTACATGTACTCATAAAACTACAGTGAACATAGGCCCCGGGAACATGTATAAAATAGCGAGTCGACATCTGTATTACTACTTCTTCGAACGTGCTAATATGATAGGGCATCTTTGGGAAATCCCCAATTTTTTTTCTAGCCCCCCCCCCCTAGACTATATCCTATTTAGTCTGAATTATATTCAGACTGACTTCTAGTCAGTCTGTTGGATACATACTACCCCCCCCCCCCCCAGATCCGCCGGTAAGACATGTCATTGAATTAGCTTGGGTTATCTCCTGCAGATATTGCATACTTACATCTGAAATTTATAGTTTTATATGCCTCAAATCAATGCGTAATCCTTTGAATCTGTGATATACATTTAGATTTAGATTCCTGTTTTCGCCATGAAGTGCAAGAATCAGCGACGTCATCAATTTCTGTGTAGTAGAACCCGGAAGTATCTAAAAGCTGAGAAAGTTCCAAAATGACCAACACTTACCTTGATTTTAGGGATATTAAGGAAATTCAGCAGAGACTGAAACAGCCAGATATAGTTGCAGATGATGAAGCAATCAAATCAGAAGCTATAATGGTAAGTTAAGCCTTTTCAATGCCAAGTTTATTACAATATATTATTCACATGTCCTTCAATTCCGTCTCAGTGTTTTCACTTTCAGCCAGTACTTTTTCAAAAAAGTGTCAGATCTATAAGATGTAGTCTTCCTTCAGTGGGAATAAGAGTATTGGGTGTTGTGCCTTACATTAGGTATTAATGCACTGCACTGGTGGATCTGGGAGGGGGGGGGCTGGGCCCCCCTTACTATATTTGCACATGATAGCCATCTTTAGAAGCCCCCCCCCCCCCTTGGGTTACTATATTTGCACATAGCCATCTTTAAGATAGATAGCTATCTCTCAGGAGATAGCTTTGTGCAAACTAAGTAACCCCTGGGCGGAGAAAGAGTCGAAGGCATGCGAGACGAATCCTGGAAACCCAGGTTTGGGAAAGCAGGGTTCACTGTTTGTTTCCGTTGACAACTGTGCGAAACTACATTTATATGACAGTGAACAGGAGGTTTAAAGTCAGACCCGGGTGCGCCAATCCCTTATTTAAATATTTGTTTCGCGGACCAGGGTTTAAGGCCATTCCGAACGAAATAAGTGTTTAACAAGGCCACGAAATATAAAAGTTTGTTTTATTAGAATTTTATACGTGTTCTTTTGTATCTACCAAGACGTTAAACATATTAGAAATAGTTATGTATTATGATTGGTCTAAAATGTGCAAAGCTAGAAGACCCCTTATACTCGTTCGTTCTCTATTTTGACTAAGAAATTATATATCAGTACAACGGCTACTAAAACAAGGAAAAGTTGACCAGTAGAGATGAGGAACTTGAAACACATTTATTTTTGTTTTATAAATATGGATAATATTTAATTTAAATACAGTGAGTTCCGCGCTATTACCATCATCTAGTGTTGACAATTCTGTTGTGTCAGTCTGGGTCAAAATCTTACAATGTGAATTGGGGGGTGGATTGATAACAAGGAACAGTTCTAATAAAAGCAATTAAATCCAGGTTTGAAAACTCCCGAAAATAACATGAGCAACTCTAATTAATAACCTGTTCACATTTTTGCAAAGGCGGATTTGGATGATGGCAAACCCATGTTTTGAGGGCGCGACTTATGGCAACGAGCACTTCTGCTTGGGTGGGCCCAGAAAAAAAATTGGGCATAAATGTGTGTATCTTGGGTTTGTAGAAAAAACTGGGTACCTGGTACTAAATCCTCCACATGGGATTTAAACTGGGTACCTGGTACCATTAAAAAAAACATGTTACCCAAAAATGAGTACCTCAAAACAGGATATCTATTATACAATCCTTTTCACCCTCCGCTTTCTTTTTACCATAATACTCCTCTAACAAATATGAAAAATGAAACATTACGTGTTTGAACTTAAAAATGAAGACAACAGCAAAATGACAATGTAACAGGCATTTACATAATACAACCCCCAACGGAGCATACTTTTCACAGAGCTTGCAAAATTTGATGTGTCTGATTATTTCAAGCAAATGAACATTGTGAACAAAGTTTTAATTACTTCTGGAAATTCTAATAAAATGAATTCAAAACAAATGAATTTTTGGCACACACAATTGCAGATTTTATAGAATCGTCTAACAGAGGTTGATAAGACTTTGTAAAACATCTTTTTCATGTCCTATTGTCACCTTCAAGTCACCATCATCATTTCATTCTTCATACTCATTAATTTTATCACATTTATTATTTCGTTTTTACACTGATTTTCCAATCAAGTTATTGCCTGTTATGTATGTATTTTATTTATTTGTGAATAAGTAATGCCTTAGGGCGATAGACATTATTACATTTTGTTAATTGTAATATTTTAGTTCATGCAATAAATACTGGAAAAAAACAACAACAAAAAACGGGCATTTCATCCTCTAGATTTAAAACGGCTAAGCATACAATGTACTTTAGGGAGGTGCACGATTGGGTTGGTATATTTGTCACCCCTAGTTGTTTTTATCAAAATTTGGTCTCACTAAACATTACTTGTTATTCTTGAAAAAGATTTTACAGACCAATGTTGCTATGTGCATGTTTTGATAGCGATTAAAGCTAGCACACAGTTGGCAAGCAGTTGTCTCTTGAAAGCCCATGATATCACGGCCGTAAACGTATATGAAAAGTATATTACCATTTTTTATCTGTAATTTAACAATGATGTAATACAACTTACAATGTTAGTTGTTCGATTAATTGCCTGATTGATTGACAGGATATCAATGATTGTTCGTTTTGCTGGTGGGTTGTTTTATTGGTAGATTAGTTGGTTGCTTGGTTGTTTGCTTGATTGGACTGTAGGTATTTTGAGAAATTACACTGTATTAGTATTTCAGTCAGTGTTTATATTTTTGTCACTTAAATGTAAAAAATAAGAATTAGCCAATGAATGCAACTCTTATTTACTTTCTTGGAGGTAGTTAACACTCAAGAATGAACCAATTTCAGCTTTTCAGTTCCATTTTTCCATCAGCCATAGATTGGTTACAAAACCTTGAGATGTATACACCTGCCTATAATTGTATCTGAACACCTTTGTCTGGTCCCAGTGGCATTTAATTAAGACAGGTTTTTATCGTACCTAATAAAGGTACGATATTGTAGTCAGCTTGATGGGCGGCGGGCGGGCGGCGTCTCACTTTTCAGCTTGTCTACAGGTTTCCAGCCAAACCATTTGACAGATACATCTGAAATTTTCAGGAATGTTTCTACATATCAAAGTTAAGAACTGATTAGTTTTTGGGCATTCTGGGTAAATTTTAAGGTGGCCATTTTGGATTTTCCGTCCTAAAATCTTCACTTTCAAGACTTGTCTACAGGTTTCCAGCCAAACCATTTGACGGATTCATCTGAAATTTTCAGGGATGTTCTACGTATCAAAGTTAAGAACTGATTAGTTTTTTGGCATTCTGGGTAAATTTTAAGGTGGCCATTTTGGATTTTCCGTCCTAAAATCGTCACTTTCAAGACTTGTCTACAGGTTTCCAGCCAAACCATTTGATGGATTCATCTGAAATTTTCAGGGATGTTTCTACGTATCAAAGTTAAGAACTGATTAGTTTTTGGGCATTCTGGGTAAATTTTAAGGTGGCCATTTTGGATTTTCCATCCCAAATTCTTCACTGTCACACTGCTGTGTTTTAGGTACGATATTGTTCATGTCTGTGCCATGTTACTGTATATCATATTTTCATGTCCAACTGTATACATGTAACTCTGAGCTATGCTTTATATTGCAGGTTATACGCCTCATGTCGAAAGGAGTGGATACATCAGTACTGTTCCCTGAGATGGCCAAACTACTAGCACACAATGACTTCAGTATAAAGAAGATGGCGTGTTTATTTGTTACAAATTACACAGATACTTCAAATGCAAATATATTACTTGCCTTGAATTCCTTGCTCAAAGATACGGTGAATGGAAACCCTATGATTCGTGGTTTGGCACTTAAGACACTCTCATCGTTACGTCAGAAGGATCTGCTGGAGCATGCGTTCACTCCCATAATGCAAGGTTTTACTGATAGGAGTTCATACGTACGTCGCTGTGCAATCAGTTCTGCCTTAAAGGTTCAACAGACTGTTCCAACATTTATTCAAGAGCATGGCATTGTTGATGAACTGTATAACTGCCTTCGAGATGGGGATCCTATTGTGGTAGTCAACTCAATCTCTGCGCTAGAGACAATTCTTCATGCAGAGAACGGAATTGTCATTAACAAAAACATTGCGTTCCATTTGCTTAACAATTTGGATCAATACACAGAGTGGGGACTGGTGACTGTATTCAAAGTTCTGAGAAAATTCAAATCTCAGACTGAAGATGAAATATTTCAAATTATGAACATAGCTGATAAGTTCTTCCAGCATCACAACAGTTCAGTTGTTGTAACTGTGATGGAATTGTTTTTAAATCTCATTCAGGATTTCCCACACTTGAGAACTGAAGTAATGTCACGTGGAAAGAAGAACTTGTTAAAGTTCATCAGCACTGGAAATGTGGAACTTTCATGGTCCATTCTGTGTTTTCTTAAACCATTTATTGTCAAAGAGCCTGTGGATTTCCAGGATCATTATACGGAATTCTTTTGTGTGTACTCTGAGCCTGTACATTTGAAGTCGGAAAAAGTGGACATTTTGTCAATAGTAGCAACACCAGCTAATGTAGCCCATATAGCAGAAGAACTAAGTATGTATTGTAGTGATACTGACAAACATATGTCTAAATGTGCTATCAAAGCTCTTGCAAATATTGCTGAAAATATACCCAAGACATTCAACATGTGTGTAAAGAAACTATTGAAATTACTGAACCTTGAAATCAGCTACATATCATCAAATGTGCTTCAAACGCTGTGCAATCTCGACCTCGCAAAATATGAAAATATCAAAGCTTTGGATGCCATTGCTAAATGTTATGAAACAATAACAGATAATCCTGGGAAAATATCTCTGTTTTATCTACTTGGACAATATGGGGAACACATACTGGAAAGTCCTTATATCTTAGAGGAGATAGTAGGAGAAATATCAGAGCTCGATCAGGAAAATACAATGTTGAAGATGTCTTTGTTAAGAAATATAGTGAAACTCTTTTTGAAGAGACCTGCAGAGAGCCAAGAAATGTTGGGTAGAATGTTGGAGATTTGTGTCCATGATAAAAGTGTTGAAGTACAAGAAAGGGGATTATTTTACTATAAACTTTTACAGTGCAATGGTAAAGAGGTCAAGAAAGTAATGGATGTTCTTTAATACTGTAATAATGCCAATAATGCTTCGGCGTAGGCCTTGTATCTGTTTGTATGATGTATTATGAAATAAAGGAAATATATAAAAAAAAATAAATAAAAAAATACTGTAATATTATATAAGATGGCATTTTGTCCAAATGGCAGCATTTGTGGAAAAACGAAGTTAGTTTTTTAAGGGAAAGAAGTGGGGGTCCCCACCCCATTGAAGTACACAAGCGATGATTTTATGAGCTAGGAAAAATGCAGTGATATCCCTGGGATTTTTTTCTCAGGTGGGTGCAAAATTCTCATTCTCACAATTCAGACAAAAATTGGTCAAAATATGCAAATTTTTCTCATTTTTAAGTGGGTGTAAATGGATTAATGCTGGGGAGATCACTGAAATGTTTTTTTTAGATTTTTAGTTTAAGCCAATCAAAACATTCTCATAATTGTTATATGCATGGGGTAGGTTATTAAACCATAATGAAATTATCTTCATTTTTCCACCAACGCGAGCCCAAAAAATTATATTTGTTTTAATTTCACAAAGTTGATGTACCTTCCTTCAAAATTGAGCTAGAAGCTTCAAACAAAAGCATTTTAAGACTCTTTTCTTCTTCTAACTAAAGGTTCATTTTGGTAACAAAATCCTAAATGGCTTTTTTATCAAGTCTCTGCCATAACACAGAGAAAGAAATATCTATTTTTTAATGAGATGATAGATGGCGTCTTGTTCATTCATGCCATCGAAATCAGTAGTGTATCTATGCAGATGGAGAGTTATTATTATGTGGACAAAAAGGTGTTAATATTGTGTACCAAAGCCATCCTCCTAAGCAGGTGTCCAAAATCCATACCTCCTTCTTCCCCCTGCTATAACCAATTTGGAAGCGCCCAATTTAACTGAATCACATGATCTAATTATGCGCAATGACTTATACATGATTTCTGTCGCAGTGTTGCGACAGCCAATCAGATTGCGAGTTCTTAATCGGGGAAATGGTAACTGCTTATCGCAGGGGGTAAAAAGAAAGAATATATTCTGGATTTTGAAGCCCTGTGATCGGAGAATGACCAAAGGATACAGTCTTCCTTCTTAATCTCTTGTAACAAAAACTTTTTGTATCCTCCAGAAACAGCTTGTAGTTTGATTTGTATTGAATCATATATGGCATCCAGAATAAAGCCAGCCTTCTTTTCTCACATCTCTCTGGCATGGGTGCTGCATCATGATCAGGTACATCTGGATCTTGTCTATGCAGGATTTAAGCCCTGGACTCAATGCATTGTGAACTGAATCATTCCTCTAAGGTATTGTTTTCAAATCTGCACGAGTGGAATGAATCAGACCGATGCATTGAGTCTTGGGCTTAAATGATTTAACAATTACCATTTGACCTGTTTAAGCATATGTGAAAGAATTGTCTTGATTCTTTTCTACATGAATCTCGCCACTTCGTTAAGGATTCTTTTATTTTTGTAAAATATCCGATTTTTCAGAACTTTATAAGACATTATTGTCCCGTTATTGTAAGACTATATACTTATTTTAATGATTTTGATGTCTGATTAAACTGGGAACTGGGACCTAAATAGTTACATTTGGGTAATTAATCTTAAGATATATGACAAGAATGATCAAATTGTTTATGTTTTTAGCTAGCTTATACATCAATAGTTTAGAGAATACATGACGAATCTAATACACTGAAACGCATTACAAACGTTTTGCCTAGTCAAAATCAAAGCAAAAGTATCCCATTCACCCTTGGTATACGCAGCTAACGAAAATTGACCGGTACGGGTCAAAAGCTTGACCGGTACGGGTTAACGGTTTTATTTGAATTTAAAACAGCCATAACTTGCTCAATATTGACTTCCTCGTGTCTAATTTGAAATATATGATGCCTCCCGATGCTTTTAAGTACCCCAATTTTTTACAGATTTTTAAACGGACCAAAACTCTCTAAATGCGCATTTATGCTCTTTTCTCTCGAGAACGACTGTTTCATTTTCACGATAACTTTTATTTAGTACTTCTAACATATAAGATCTATTTTTCCCCATTAAGGTATGATGTAAATGACATGCTATTTACATCTTGTGAGTTTCAATGACGCGCGTTTAATTTTATAAAAAATGCCAAACTTTGTGACAAAGAATTTCATCAGCTATTGCCCCGAACCGGTCAGTCTTCTCGCTGCAAGCAGATTGCCCCGAACCGGTCCGTCTTCTCGCTGTTTAAATGGGTATTTTCACTAATCAACACCCATTATTTCGCATTGACAAGTACCAGGTCCGAATCCAGCATTTGCTAAGGGGATGACTTTTGAATTATCCCTTGGGTGAGGTCACATTTGATATTTGCTCAAAATTACACGAAAACTGCTCAAAATAGTGAAAGAATAATTGGCCGGGGGATGCAGTATTATTTTAAACAATACACAAGTGAATGACTCCTGTCATGAGCGCATAAATGAATCTAACTCACGATGACGATGAAGTACATCAAGACGGAAAACGATTTTTGGTATTCATACTTATTCACATTGAGCCCTGTTAGAGATGCATTCAACCCTTTTTAACACTACTATATTTGAGAACTTCATTGATTTTCTCCATTGGGTCAAAGTATACCTTTATTGTACCTCTGAATGGTTGGAATGATAATACAGAAAAATGAAAACGATATGATTGCTTAAGCACCATGCGCATTTTTATTTACAAAGGGTAATCTAACAGCTATTAATAATATACAGGGTGATCACTAAGTTCTGGGAATTTATCTGTCATTTCATTATTTTTCAACCAATCTACTTGAAATTTTCAAGGTAAATGGAGAATATAGTTTTGGGTTTGATAAAACAGTTTCATTGTCATATGATGTCACAATGGATAATTATTGTTACTATAGCAACATGACAAATGGCGTAGCGGGTCAAGCAAAACTTGAATTCATTTTTATTTTACTTGATCCAAAAGTATGGTTTATTAATACCTATTTGGTGGACACATTTCTGTGATTTTTTATGTTTTCAAATATTTCTAACTTTAGTTTCCACCCTATGCAGACAGAGCCTTTGGGAAATATTGGGTGCGGCGCAAATGAGCGGAGGGTGCGGAGCTAACGGTCATTTTTGAATTTAAAATTGGGATATTTCTGAAACTAAGCCGTTTTGGGACTTCAAATATACCAAGATATGTGTATTTGACACCAAATATCAATAAAATTGTGAAAATAGTAGTGCAATTCATTTTATAACGACGCAGTATGCCTTAAACATTTCCCAGACCTATATATTTTGAGACTATCCTTTTAATACTGCGTCCCCAGCATTCATAAAAAATGGTGTTCAAGATACACTACCCATGCAAATTATTTTTGCATCTTGGAAGCCAGGCAGTATCTGTGTGATTTTATAAAAATTCGGAAATGTTCTTCAGATATGAGCCCCTCTAAATATTGGGTGCGGAGCTACGTTTATGGAGCTGCTCCGCACCCAATATTTAGAGGGGGCTCATATCTGAAAAAATTTCCGAATTTTTATAAAATCACACAGATACTGCCTGGCTTCCAAGATGCAAAAATAATTTGTATAGATAGTGCACCTTGAACACCATTTTTTATGAATGCTGGGGACTCAGTATTAAAAGGATAATTTCAAAATATATAGGTCTGGGAAAGGTTTAAGGCACACTGCGTCGCTATAGAATGAATTGCGCTACTATTTTCACAATTGTATTGATATTTGGTGTCAAATACACATATCTTGGTATATTTGAAGTCCCAAAACGGCTTAGTTTCAGAAATATCCCAAATTTAAATTCAAAAATAACCGTTAGCTCCGCACCCTCCGCTCATTTGCTCCGCACCCAATATTTCCCACAGGCTCTGTCTGCATAGGGTGGTTTCTAAAGTAACATCTGTATTGTGATATAAAAGTCCACTTTGCTCAATTTTTTTATCATTGGTCAGACTCTCAAAGTCACAATCATGACTCAAAATAGCGGGGAGTTATCTTCCATTATGACTATGCTTCTTCCCGTTCCTCAAATTACGCATACAAATCTTGAAGAATTAGGGTTCACACAAGTTGTTCATGCCCCATATTCACCATATAATGTTCACCAGATGAACCACCATTAGGTTCACTAAATTTGACTGTTGAAGCATCATATGAGAGGTCATCATAAGTTTGGTTCCAATGAGGGACTGATCTCAACAGCTTGAGCAAATTTTCAAGCGATACCAAAGGGATGACTGGAAAGCAACTTTATGGACTAGGTTTGACAACAATGCATGGGCGTCCAGGCCTATGGAAATCATTATAAATGAAATGATCCTTCCAGCAATGAAGTATACTTCTGAATAAATGACTTCAAGAGTATTGTTCTGCCTCTAGTACAATATGTTTGGACCAACCATCTAGGCAAGACGAATATGTTTAAGCAGGATATTTTTCAAATAAACGTCAGTCAAAATTTGCTGACCCGCTGACCACTTTTACTTTTTTTATAATTACAATAAAATAAATTGTAAAAGTGATATGTATATGAAACATTGTCTGTCAATTCAGAATTATACAATGTACATTTGCTGGAATTTTCAACTGAATTGGTTGAAAAATATCGAAATGACAGACCAATTCCCAGAACTTAGTGATCACCCTGTATAATCACATTTATATAAAAAGGGGCCACCTTCCATCTTTTTGTTGACATTCTTCATGACATTGGACTGAAAAATAAATTGACTATGTTGTATTAATAAATCCAATGCGTTGACTTATCGGGTCTTGTCACTTATTTGGGAAAGCAATCTGTTGTGAAATGTATTTAATTTCTTATCTTTTAGTGTATTTGCTCTCTTATTTTGAAATATTTTAGAATGCCCCGCCATCTTGATTTAAATTTGGGGAAAATCCAAGAAAAATTACATTGAAATGATTCCCATTGGATGTAATGAAATTTTTTGAAATCCCTCGTTATTTTGTTTAAGATTGTATTTCGAAATTCTCAAACTCACATATTCCATCTGCCGATTCTGAATTCCAGTTTTATGTATACAGCTTATTCTCAAAATCAATTACTTATGGCAATTT